CCCCCCCTCTCTTTCTCACTGAATTGTGGAATTGTCTCAGGTTATGAATACTGATTCTTGAAGAGAGGTCACAGTTTCTCGTAGACCAATGTAATTTTATCTACACTGTAAAAAAAATTAAGCCAGCACAACAAAAAAAATCTTTTTTTACTAATTTTGTACTAATTTCCCCTAGCTTTTTCTTGTTCACTCAACTTTTGTAAAAAAGCAGTTATACTGACTGAAAAGAAGCTGTCAGTCATACAAAAAATGTTTAGTTGAGTTAACTCAAGATTGTTAGTTTTCTAGAGATGTGCAACGATTCTATAACAAACCTTTTTAAGTTGTGCCAACTCAACATTTTTTGTCTGTAGAACTCAAATACCTGAAGTTGACTGAACAAAAAAATGCTACTGGAAATTGGTACTAAGAAATAATATGTTACAACTGAAAACTGCAATAACAGTGTCCAAGTCAAAAACTGAAAACACTGACACAATATTAATAAAACATTTATTCAAAAGAGCAATTTTTTAAGACAATGTTTTCAAACATTTGCCTGTTTAAGGCAATTAAACAGGCAAGTATACCCATCATTACAATAAATTTATCTTAAAGTCAGATCTGTAACCACCATAGACATTGAGGAGGACAAGTCTAAACTGCCAAAAAATTCATGGCCTAATGGTTAGAGAGTCGGACTTATAACCCAAAGGTCGGAGGTTCGAGTCTCTGTACTGACAGGGATTGTAGGTGGGGGAGTGAATAACCAGCACTCTCTTCCAATACCCTTGAGCAAGGCACCCCCCCAAAAAATGGCTGCTCACTGGATTACAAAAAAATTTAAAAGTTACATTTTTAGGCTGGTCTGCCTCAGCAGTTTACTAGCAATGTCGTCAATGTCGAAATGATTGAGATGGCCAATCAAAGCAAAATAAAAATCAAATTTGACCTAGGCCTATCCCCCCCAATGTTCAAGACATGGTTACAGCCTTGCTTAAATGGATAGTTCACCCAAAAGTGATAATTCCCTCATTTATTCCCTTATGTCTCAAACTCATATTTATCTTAAAATTTTTGAAACCCTTTTACTTTTCATTTTATGGATGTAAACATATCAGTCTATGAAAATATCTTTGTGTTCTAAAGAAGAAAGGCAGTTATATGAGTTTGAGATAGAACAGAGTAAATGATGATACATTTTAATTTTTGGGTGAACTCTCTCTTTAAATATTGCTCACATGAAACAAAATTTCATATATTGCACTAACCTGCCAAAACCTGCATCAATACATAGATAGAACTGCTAAGGAATAATTATGTACATTTATTGAAAACTGTTTGAGCAAGAGTGTATATATAAAAATCAAAGCTCAAATACACTCTTTCTAACAAAACATGGTGCATTATGTGCTATCCTGATGTAAACACTTGATGAAAACAACCCACATGAAAATACGAGAAGAACAAAATTTGAAAACCTACCAAATAAATCTTGGAGATTTGGTTCCCTGAGGTAAAACGGGAGTCCCCATAGAGCCATGTCGTGTCTGTGATGGGGTGTCTGTTGTCTGTAGTCTTGTTATAAAAATTATAATTTACTTCTGTATGATTGCTTACTGATCATAATTGAGTGTTAAAAATACTGAAAATGTATTAGGGATGGACAAAGGGTCAGAAATGGAGGAGTGCTTGGGGCAACA